CCTCTTAGAGGCCCCAAGGCCGCCATGTAGGAGCCAGGAGGCGCCCGCTGTGCCGCAGCGCGGCCTCTCGAGACATCGAATCTGCTGTCACCTTGGACACCGCGAGGAGCGGCGTGGTTCCTGGCGTTTTGTCGTGGCAGCCCACACGGCCAGCTGACCGTCCAGGCGGGACAAGACGGGAGCCCCCTGCCATGGTCACCTTCATGGCCAAGTCAAGCGGACGGAGAGTCACAGCCCCCGTGGGGCGTCGGTGAGGGAGTCACGACCACCGGGCCTCCTGCACTCAGGATCTGAGCGGCCCATTCGGGGTGGAACCATAGGGGGCGGGGCCTGGCTGCCGGGGGTGCGACTTGGAGGGGCACATCCTGTCCGGGTCACTTCCTGTTGCTCCTCTTCTGCTTCCGGGTCACAGGCTGCAGCGCCCCAGCTGCCGTGGTTCTCTGCCGCACCTCGGGTCCACTGAGGCTGGACCGAAACCCGGAGCCGAGGCACTGATTCCTGGAAGTTTCTGCCTGCTGTGTGGCACAGACAGACGGACACCCCGTCCCGATGTCCTCCACAGGGACACGTGGCATGCAGACGCACAGTCGTTGGGTTTGTGGGCAGGACTTGAACTCAGGGCCCCACCCAGGTTCCTTCTCGGCGGCCATCGTGGATTGAAGGGGACGAGGCCCGCGAGCCGTGCTGACCCGGTGTGGCCACCTCTGCCCCCGGGACACACCTGTCACAGGGGCTGCTTGATGTCGGTGCCGCCTCCCCCGCCCCAAACCTAAAGCGAGCATGGCGGCCGGTGGCGGCCACCGCCTCCCTGCTCTGGACCTGGACGCGGGGGTGTTGGGGCCTCCCTGGCCTTTGCCCGGGGCTGGCCTCACACCGTGGTCCTCCCCTGGCTGCCTCCTCCGCCGTGGTGAAGGGCGTGAGCCGCCGCAGGTCCCTCTTCCTCCTTCAGCGGCAGCGGGACTCGAACTCGCGGCCACGGCTCGCTAGGCAGGCGTCTGTCGCCGAGCCCGGTCTCACCCTCGCCGAGCGGCTGGGATTACAGGCGTGAGCCGCCGCGTCCGGCCATGAGGCGGCCACGCTGCAAAGTTCTCCGAGGCCGTGCGGACGTCGGGTCGGGAGGGGCCCAGGCCCGTGGACTCGGCCGTTTGGGGCCCGACGAGGTGACGGGTGATTTGAGGCTCTATGCCGAGCCGGCCCCGTCCCCGTCCCCGTCCCCGTCCTCCCCTTAGGGCTGCGGCGGGAAAAGTGAGTGGGGCCGCCCCGCGCGGCCATCCGTCCTCTTCCCCCGCCACCGGACAGACGCCAGGACGGACAGACGCCAGCCGGGGTCCTCCATGACGGACCCGAGCTCCAGAAGCCCCTGGGCGCTCCGTACGGTGGGGACGGTGACGAGGACAGCCAGGGCTCCAGGCCTGCAGTGGCCACACACTTGCGGTGACAATGACAGCTGTCAGGTGACAGTGACGCCGCACTCCTCCGTAGGCCAAGCTCGACGTCCGCAGAAGCGGCCCTTTCTGGAGGCCGTGTGACTGGACGCGACCGTCCCCGACCTCTGCCACCCAGCACCGTGGTGGCCGTGTCACGGGGACATAGACGGGGCTGGCTTGGCCGAGCTCTCTCTGAGTTGTGAGGTCCCCGTGTCGCAGTGTCCTCACGCGGTCGTCCCTGTGCCTGTGTCCTGACGTCCTCTTCCGACATTTGCTGCAGTCGGAGTGGCTTCAGGCCCCACCTGGCAACCTGACGCCATGTCCCCAAACTCCGAGTTCTCTTTAAAGAACCACTTCTAAAAATATGGTTGGGGACACACGATTCAGCCCGTCCTGTCCCCACCATGGCGACTTTGTCACCTGTGACTCCATTCTCCCTCTCCAGTGGCGGTCACTTCAGACCTGGATTCCAGAACCAACCCAGGGAGGCCATTAAGTGTGTTGAGAGCCGGTGACATACGGTGGCAGCTTCGGCAAGGGCCCCAGGGCGCCTTCACATTGTGGGGAAACAGGCACGGCATCCACTTGGTGGGTAGGAAAAGTGTGGTCCTTGGCCAGGCACGGTGGCACATGCTTGCGATTCCCGCTGTTCAGAAGGTGGAAATTGGGAGGACTGCGGTTTGAGGCCAGCCTGGGGTGAAAGTTAGCGAGACCCCATCTCAACAAACAGGCCAGGCTGGGTGGCTCAATACTGTAATCCCAGCTCCTCAGGATCAGAGCTCAGGAGGATATTCGGCTCAACACCAGCTCAGGCGAGCTAGCAAGACCCCATCTCAACCTCAACTGAGCGTGGCTGGGTGCTGCCATCACAGCCCCGCAGCGGGGACAGGGCGCCTGGAGGGAACAGGGGTTTTCAGAAGATCTCAGTGAGTCAGTCACATACTCACTCGTGTCAATAAAGCAGCAATCCACTGAACCTCGGGTCATGCTGGCCCTGGGCTTCTGTTTGCTGTCAGATTAATTAAAAATAAGGAATAAATAAACGTTGCTCTGAAGATGTACGAGAGCATTGGAACGGGTCCCACGACAGCAGCCCCAAGATGCAAATCGTGGTGATGCACGCCTGTAATCCCGGCTGACTCGGGAGGCAGAGGTCGGAGGATCCAGGTGTAAGGCTGGCCCTGGGCAAAAGCTTGAGAACTCTGAAAAAAAAAAAACCAAACTACAAGCAAGCAGGGCCGGGGAGCGGCTCATGACATGATAGCTAGCCAAGGAGGTGTCAGGCCCTGAGTTCGAGTCCCAGTGTCACCAAAAAAATGCAAATCACAGAAATGTTTATCAATTGACTATTTTCACCAAGATGGTGCTGAATGTGAGAACACCAAGACGCCGAAGGTCAAGACAGCAGAGCTGAAAGGTGCCACAGCCACGCACACCCAGAATTGTCACCAGACACCGTGGGCACAGAGGCCACGAAATGTCCTCGGAGAGCCCCCAGAGACGCACGCTTGTCGCTAAGGCCGGAGTCCACGAGGAGGACCGAGGACGTGGGCCGGGCACGGTGGGGCTTGCCTGTAATCCCAGCTGTGGAAATCTTGACTTTGACGCCAGTCCCGGTCAAGTTAGCGAGACCCCATCTTAAAACAGGAGGTGAACTTTGGGGCTGGGGTGGTGAGGTCACTGCCAGCGCGAGGGACCCTGCCGTCCACCCCCAGCACCCCAAAACCAAACCACAGACAAAAAGCCTTTTCCCGAAAGCCGAGTCCTCCCCTTCTGTTCCCGGTGGTCACTACGATGACCTCAGTCCTCACCCCCCCCAGGAAGAGGGCGGCTGCAGCCGGGTAAACTGAGGCTGCACCAGGTCACCCAAGGGGCTCCAAGCGCTGCCCTCTGACCCCAGCCAGGCCTGGCGGTGGAGCAAAGGCTCGAGGGTCACGTCGGGTCACTTTGCTTTGTAAAGAAGCCAAAAAGACCTGGCTGACCAGGGGGCGTTTTCGTCCTGACCCCGAGAGCCCCAGGGTGACGAGGCCGGCCGAGGTCACACAGCACAGACCCAGCCCTGGGGGAGGTGACCCGCCTCGGCCATGTTCGCATGTTTTAACATAAATTTCAGGGTGGCCGCTGGGCTCGGCCTACGTGGGACATGAGTGTGTCCCCGTCCCCGTCCCCGTCCCCTCCCGATGACCAGAGACGCCATCTTCAAAGCGGAGAGACAGTTTGCTGCTGTCACCCTTTGGTTTTTTGAGGTGGGGTCTGCCTCCGCCTCCCCAGTGCCACCTCACACGGTGACACAGAAGTCGCTTCCGCCCAGGAGGAAACGCAGCCTCGTTCCGCTCGCACAACCTCAGCCCGGAATCTCTGCTCTTGAGACGGTCCCAGTACCTAACCAGGCTGGCCTCGAACTCGCACCATCCTCCCGCCTCAGCCTGGCGGATGCTGAGGTTACGGCGTGCCTGGAGGTCATTAAAAATCACGTACAGGACAAGATGTGCTCTCCACACGCGGAGTACTACTCAGCCTTGAACAAGCGCGCTGACCAGCACCGACTGCAGCACGGCCACCATCGGGACACGGTGCTCACTGATGTCATCAGACACAGGGGTCAGGGGCTTCGGGGTTCCACTTGGACAAGGTCCCCAGAGCTGTCACCTCTACAGACAGAAGGGGCAGGGGTGGGGTGGGGGACGAGGAAGTCCTGCAGGTGGCGACAACAATGGCCACAGGACACTTTTCTGTGCTTCTGGCCACCACACTGTCCCCTGAGGGTTTAACAATTCTCCCTGTGAATTTGCCCGCTTTGTAAGTTTCAGTGACGTCACCAGTTTTTCATAAAACCCCACACAGGTGCCGTGCCTCCCGGTGACACGGGTGGGACAATTGTCCTGGGCACAACTGGAGCTGAATTCCTGTCTTTTGGCACCCGTTGTACCCAAGGAGGCACAAAATAAGTGTCCTCCCCCATTCTGGAAGGCGGGGGTGACCTTTCACCGTCCAGAGAAATCATAAACGTCACCATTTTTTTTCAGGCTACTGATCAAAGCTGGCTGTGCAGTTTGGGCCAAGACTCTGCAGTGAGACCACCGTCCCCGTGTACGTCCTGGCCTACCCAAGGGACAACTCTAGTGGCCGCATCGGGCCTGGCCTGGGCACTCTCAGGTGACCTTGGGCTCGAGGCCACCACTGCCCTTCCCCCACTGGGGACCCCCATGTCCTCGGCCCCTGGAGCCTGTGAGTCACGTGGCCCTGTGGGTTGCAAACTTCCGGCCTCTCTGGGGCCTCACAGGTGTCCTGAGCCCTGCTCTGGCCTTGGGGACAGGAGCATCACCCAGGGCCACCCTGCTGGCCTCTCCCCCCCCCATTCATCTCCTTCCTTTCTGAGGAGCCTGGGGACGTCCGCACGACACCAGGGAGACGCAGGGCGGTGTGGGAAGGAAAGGGGGGACAGACTGGCTCACGGATGGGGCAGGAGTGGGGACAGGAGGGATCTGCGCCTTCCAAACTCCCCTCCAACCCCTCGGTGTCCCCACCTTGTCCCCTCCTCTCCCTCCTGCACCGCGGTCCTGCTGCTCCTACCTGGGACACTCATGGTCAGCCGGTTCCTCAGGGGACGCCTCGGACGCCTCCTCCAGGCAGGCTGCCCAGCTTCCTCCTGTGTCCACCACCCGTCCGGCCCAGGGCAGACTGAACTGGCTCAGAGCTCTCTGCAGGGTCGCGGGTGTCCTGGGGCCAGAGGAGGCAACAGGACCCAGGAGGAGAGAAAGTGTGTCATCGGCTGGGAGGGGCGCGCGGGAGGGAAATGCAAAACCCCACAGGAAATGAGACTTAAAAAAAATGCAAAAGGTTTTAGAGAAGGAAGAGGGGGAGGGGCGACAAGGTGGCCCTGTGGGCAGGGGGAGGGGGACACTGAAGTGACAAAGGAGGCTTGGCACCTGCCCCTGATGAAGCCAGGCCCACCCTGGACTGTCAGCTCAGAAAGTCTTGGGGGTCCAGGTGTGGCCTTCAGGGGGCGTCTCCAGGGCGGTTCTAGGGGGCGGGGGGGGTCCTTTTGGTGGCATCGGCCCTGGAGAAATTCTAGACACTGTCACAGCAGGAGGCGGGGGTCCCACAAGGGCAGGAAGCCTCCCCCACTCCGAGTCCCCCTCATCCTCCCTCCGCGTGTGTTCTGGAAGCTTCCTGGGGTCCACCTGGTGGTCAGCACCCTCCCGGGTCCCCTGGGGTGTGACACTCCCCAAGGACACTGTGTCCCAGAACAGAGACCCATCGGTCCCCCCGTCCGGCCATGATTGGTGGACAATTGGTCACAGAGCCGGTGGTTTCTGGGCGCTGTGATTTTAGGAATTTTCCCCCAAAAGCCCACAGAGCTGATCCTAAAAGGATCCTGACTGCTTCTCTTGGTCATGGCTTCTCCAACGTGACTGTCCCCAAACCTTCCCCGGAACGGCCACAGCACAAAAAAGAATTAATTAATTAATTGATTGGAACCCGTACGAAGCCTGGGATCCGCGGAATGTCTCCTCCCCTCTGCCTCAGTTTACCTTTCCTCCTCCTTCCTCCCTCTTGGTTCTGAACAGGTGACCTGTGGGGACAGACACTCAGGAAATGGCAGCCACGTCAGAAGATGAGCTGAAGTCAGGGCTGTGGCCCTGGCCTGGGTGACAAGGACAAGGATGGGGGACGAGGACAGGGACGGGGACAGCCATGGTGACCCGTGTGGCCAGGGGACTGCAGGTGACACGAGCTTGCGTCCTGCAGAAAAGGAGCCACAGACCACAGAGAGAAAGTCCCTAAAATAAACAGCAGGCGGTGTCCTCCGTGTGTCACCGCCATTCATCGTCACCTTTCCCCGTTATCCCTCGGCCAGGGGAAATGACAAAAGACTTCTGCGTCGGCCACGTGCACAAATTAGGCACCGAGTGTGACGGATTTGTAAGTCGTCTCACAGGAATCCGCCCCCCCACATGTCCCCACCTGTCCCCTATGTCCCCCTCGCAGGGCGGCAGAACCATGACCTTGGTGGCAGTCGTGCCTGTCCATGGGGACGCAGAGGTGGCCTTTCTGGTTTTCAGATTTCCTGATGGAGGTGCAGGTGGCAATCTGTCCACCCAGCCATCTGTCCTTTTTAAAATTTTCTTTTTGATGCATTTTCAAAATCTTATCAATGGACGGAGTTATTCTGGTTTTTTTGGCGGTCCTGGGATTTGAACTCAGGGCCTCACACTTGCCAGGCAGGCGCTCTTCCACTTGAGTCACTCCACCAGCTCATTGTGTTCTTATTTTAGAGATGGGGTCTCATTTTTTTATTTTGCCCTGCAGAGCCTGGTGACAGGCCTCGCATTTAATGTTCCTCACCGTAGCTGGGGTCACAGGTGGCTCCGCCACATCCAGCTTACTTGTTGAGATGGGGTCTCGGGGCTATTTGCCCTGGCGGCTTCAAAGTGCTGCTGTGATTACAGGCGCGAGCCACCACGCCTGGCTGGAGATGGGCGATTGCACGTCTGTGGTTTTGGCTGGAGTTGGAATGACGGCATTCCTGTCACCACTGGTCCCCAGGCCCAAGCCGCCCCTTTCTGTAGTTGGTAATGCAGAGCGGTGACCCCGGGGTGGACGTGACCACAGTGTGAGCGAGGGCTCCGCGTGCAGTTTACCTCCGTGTTTGAAAAATTACAGCAAACAACAGTGGGGGACAGAGAGAGAGAGAGAGAGAGAGAGAGAGAGAGAGAGAGAGAGGGAGAGGGAGAGGGAGAGGGAGGGAGGATTTGTGGGTGGGAGGCGTCAGGTGCAGGCGCAGGTGGCTTAGGCCTGGCTTTGGGTCTCCACTTGGGACTGTCCCATTAGCCAGGTCAGAGCAGGAGTGGACAGAAGGACAGACCTCAAGTGACACATGGACACTGTCCTGGGGTCTCGGGGGGGGGGCGCCCCATTTCCCTCCTCCACTTCCACTGTGTGGCCTCTTTCTCCCTCGCAGGGTCAGTGGCCAGGACGCCTCTCCTGTGACACCACGGCGAGGCCCGGCCTTGGTTCTCCCGGGGTCCCTGAGGCAGTGCTTCTAGAACTCTCTGTAGTGACAGACACCCCAAAACCGTCTAAGCCAGGCCCGGTGCTCACACCTGTAATCCCAGCCACTCGGGGGGCAGAGACCAGGAGGATCGCGGTTCAAAGCCAGCCTGGGAAAACAGTTTGAGACAATCTCAAAACACCCGTCACAAAACTCAGGAGGCCCTGAGTTCAAATCCCAGCACTGCAAAAAACGCGTGCACCTTCACGTCCCGCGGTGCAGAACAAAACGAGCCCGGGTGGCCGTCCGTGGTGACTCGTCACCGCCCACCGCCAGCTCCATCTTCACCGTGACCTTCCCCTGACTGCTCCTGAGGGTTCCACAGCGTCCTCCTCCCGAGGGACAGATGGTGACCGTCCCGGACACCTGGCCATCGCCGTCCTTCTCAGGGGATCAGCGTTAGGGCGGCTGTCACCTGACCTCTGTTTCTGACAGTAAATTAACGAGCACGCAGTGGCCAGGCGCGTGAGCCACCGCTGGGGACTAACGCTTTGGGGGACGAGTCTCGAAAGGTGCTGTGTCACCTCCCGCGGACTTTGTTTAAACATGGAGGCCACTTAGCTGTGACCCTCCGCCACCTGGCCGGCCACTTGCTCCAACCGCCCTCCCGCTCTCAGAGAAAGTCACCGAGTGACCCCCGCTGCGGAAGTGGCCTGAGTGACGTCTGGTCTTGGGGACTCAGGGCTCATTAAAACACGGATGCCGTGGTGTCTGGGATTGTCACTTCACACGCTCGCCCATGTGTGTCCCCAAGCGTCCCCGGGCGCCAATTTGCAGGATCGCCCAGCCAGCGTGGACGCCGCCCGCCACTTGTCACCTTGTGAGCGTGGACAGCGACCTGTCACCGCAGCGGCGTCACTTGTCCCAGGACTTTCGGCGCACCTGTGCTGGGGACGTGTCAGGAACCTCATCTGCTTTGCTGGTCATGGTGACACTCAGCTGGAGCTGGGGACAAGGGGACAAGGGCCGGACGCCATGCCACTTTGGGGGCCGAGAGCTCCGCCTGCAGCTGGTGGGACACAGGCCTGCGCACCACGGCAGGAGGGCAGACAGACAGACAGACAGACGGACCGACATCCCTGGGACAAGGTTCATGGCTTCCGCGTCACCTCACAGTGACGATCGGACCTGTCATTTCTTTTTCTTGCACAACTACCTTGGCCGGCGCCTCCAGCAGGTGGACGCCCGGGCCCTGTGGCCTGACCTTGCTGTCACACCGGGCGCTGGCGGCTGCGTTGGGACGGTCACAGGCGACTGGAATTCCCACTAAAGTTCAGTTCATAAAAACGTGCTTTTGAGGCTCGTGTGCTTGTGGTGAATGGGTAGAGGACAGGCCAGCCAGAGGGACAGCTGACCACAGGCTCCGGGTACAGTGATGGTAGTAGACCGACTTCCAGTTGGTTTTAGGATTCCTCTTCTGTGTGGCACTGGGATTTGAACTCAGGGCCTCACACTGCTCTACCACTTGCGCTGCTCCCCAGCCCCTTTGCGTTTAGCCTGTTTTTCAGATGGGGTCTCTGGCTTTAGCCTGGCCCTGTGACACCCCTACTCTGCCTCCCAGCAGCTGAGATTATAGCTGTCACCACTGCGCTCAGCTCGTGTGTGAGATAAGGTCTCTTCCCCAGGCAGAGCTCAAAACGCAATCCTCAGCGGGGATTACAGGAGTGTGCCACCATGCCTGGCCCTTACGGCTGCTTTTAAATTCTCTGCAGCCGGGCGGGTGCAGTGGCTCTCACCTGTAATCCTGTGTCCTCACTTCAACCAGTGTCTAGCAAGCTGGCGCCCATGTCCCCCAGCTATGTGGGGAAGGCATATCGGAGCGGCTTGGTTTAGGCCAGACAAAAGCAAGAGACCCCATCTCAACCCACGGGGCCAGGGCAGTGGCTGTCTCTTTCGCTTTCTCTTCTGAGCTCCGTGGCCACTGCCACCTCTCCCTCCGCGGCCTCAGAGTGAAACTTGGCGTCTGTGGTTTTTGCTCCTCAGCCGCGGCCACAGCGAGGCCATCGCTGAGCTGGCCAGGCACGGCTGTGACCTTGAGCGTCCTGGAAGCCACGGGCCGCACCTGAGCCTCTGAGGATGGAACTCCACCTTCCCGGCCTCCACCTGACTCTGCCCAGGGCTGTGGGGAAGTCGAGGCACAGGGCTCTGCGTGGCCCATGGCAGCTGGCTTTGAACCCTGTGTCCCCAGAGCTCTGATGGCTCCCGGTGGCCGTCACAAACACTTTCCACCCGCTGGCTTCACGTCCCCCACCCCGTGACGACCGGGATTTCTGGGGTCACCTGTGCGGGAACATGGCCTGGGGTCGGGTCTGACTTAGGGTCTGCTGTGGGGTCCCCCAAACAAGACAGAAGACGAGGTCAGAGGCAAGGCCACCTCTGATTGACAAGGTGCCACCATATCAGAAATATTTCTGAAATTTAAAATATTTCCCCAAATAAGCGCCTTGCCCTTTGACCCGCACAAGGCCTTCAGAAGCTGGGGACAGGCGGGTTTGGAAAGAGTTCCTTCTGCAGGGCGGGCGTGGGGGCCAGCAGGGGTGACGCCATTTCTGGGGTCAGGGAGACAGGTGTCGTCCCCCCACCCGGTCCAGCATCTCGGTGACCGTGGACGTGCCCTCGCCCGTCTGTCCGTGCACGTGGGACTCTTTGGGAACGTGACCTCACAGCTCATGACCTTGACCCCAAAAGTAGCAGGTTTGCTGTG